GAGTTATCTTTCGTGGCGGTCACTGTGCTCCAAGGCCTCCAAGGCCATTTGAAGACCTTGACGAATGTCAACGTAGATAAAAGAAAAAAAACGCGGAGGGAGATACGCGCGTCCGAAGCCTTTATCTCAGGGGGGTAGTCGCGCCACGAACTGCCACGAGGTTCACGTGCCTTTCCCCGATTCGGCGCTCCGATTAGCCGGCTCTCTGTATTCCACGCGGAATTCCATCTGAAACGATGAGGCTCCAGCGGATGCTGCTCATCGTCGGCTATCTGATGCGCTATCACATCGCCCGTTCAATAGCCGGTGAGTACGAATACATACGTACTCGCAGGTATACATATGTTTCCCGGCACACACCTGCCGCCTTTGTAATTAATTTTCAATGAGAATATATGTTATTATTTTGTATTTATTAAACTGTAAAAAACTGTTTATTATTATTATGTTTTGCTATTGTTAAATTGTATCAAAAATATTATTTTTCGTTGTTACGTTTAACGCATTCTGTATTTGGAAAATGTACAAATACAAACGTGCACGTGTTGAAATTTGAGAGAAGGATTTGACCGCGTGGAGCTAAATCCGACGCTCGGAAAATAAATGTGTATGCAGAATTATAACGTGTAAACGCTCACAAGTTCATCTGAAATAATACTGTGAAGATTAACTCTTCAGATTTCTCAATCTTTTTTTAAATATCTAAAAAAATATCTCTATCATGTTTCATTGATTTTTTAAAATACATTTTGAAAAATCGATATAGCAAAATCTTAGAGATATATAGAGATAACGAAGCGGTTAATTTGATTTAACAATTGATAGAGGAGAAGATGGATAGAGAAAATTAGCTCCTATTTATATTTTAAACAATAACTTGATTAATAATTAATATTTAAACTTAAAACGTAGCATTATCAAAGTGTTGTTTACTCCATTCTAAAGTCAAGGTTACAAAACATTTTATTACTTAGAATATTATTTAGAAAAATACACAACAAACAATGCTAGAAGAGAATTTGAGAGGCCATTATTATTATTACTACAGAAGTGAAAATGTGATCTTCCACAAAAATAGATTTCAGAAATTGATTTTGTATAAAAGAAAAACATTATTTAGTTACAAAATTAACAAAAAAGTAAAATATTGCAGAACGTTTGTAAATGCACACAATAATTTCTTCTGCTGATTACTAAAAATCTATAGAATATATAACATAAATTATAGATTAATAGAATTATAATTAATTCATTGAATAATTATTTTGATATGAAAACCTCGAGGCCGCCAACAATCAACACGCTTAGAAAGCCATATTAGCAAAATGCTACGCTATTATTTAATGCCATGCTTTTATTTAATGCCAAGCTATTGTTTAATTTTACTTAACTTAAATGGATTTTGTTTAAAGTCATTTATAACATATTCAAATATGTAATATATTCAGGTGATAATATGCTCACGTTTGAGAAGAATGAGAGATAATATGCAATTAAATATACAAAGTTTAATTAAATATCAACTTTAAAAATGTTTTTAAATGTTTAAGATAAATGCTTTATAATAAATGCTGGTTATTGCGTATTGATATATTAGCGTCACGGTATAATGGAGAATTACTGAACAAATAATTTTAAAGTAATCTAGAATTTGCCACTTAATAATGGAGATTAAGAGGAGCCATTATACTTTTATGATGGGTGGCTAATATCACTTATCCTCTAATTAAATGAGACATTTACAAAAAAGTAAATAAAAAATTTCTAGAAATGCGAACAAATTTCTCTTGTTTAAAAAGAATCATTTTTTCTTCCTTTCTTTATATCCTTTCTATAAATGTCACATTACTTTATTACCGTTTCTTCATATTTTATAACAATGATTTTACTTAAAATTTAATTTTAATTTTAACTTTAATTACAATTTTTACACGGTTTAAAACAGCATTTATAATATATGTTTTTTTTAAATTATATACGTACCGTAGCTTTAATTTATTGCCATTCGCAAAATATAATTAATAAATATAACTAAATATATTGTACTCTGTGGCAACTTTGAAGTTTGATAAGAGTAATAAATATTGTACACTATGGAAATTAGTAGAAGAGATTTATTATAACTTCTCTTCCTCTCTCAGCGTTCAAACCTTTTGTCATATGCCATGAAAAAATGGCACACGTTATAAAATATAGTTGTAAAATGTAATACTGTATACTCATATATTTTATAATTCTAGAGTTAATATAATTTACTTTTAATTTAATTTAAGCTTTTAGGTATATTTATTTAGTAATTTGATTATATGTTTTAATGTTAAAATATTGATTATATGTTTTAATGTTAAAATAAAAACATTAGATTTAAAAATTACATTATTTAATACTCAATATTTTTTAAAACTTAAAATTCTAAGTTAGTCTCTATGTAACAAGATTCTTTATTTTTTCTTTATATTAAACTTATATCTAATATATCTTCAATAATTTTGTACATTAATATTCTTATTTTTTAATATATATTTTTTAATATATATTCATTTTTAAGAAATTAAATTGTAATTTACAAAAATACTCAGATTTTTATTAAAAATTTTTATTAAACATTTTGGTAAATATTAATATTATTATTAAGATAAGTGTATTCCAAAATATTCACTGCCAATACTGAAAATTTATACTTAATGTTACATATATGTATACCACAATTTTCAGTATTGGCAATAATTATCGAAATGCAGTCTAGGATAAGGAAATAAGAAGTACTATTAGATATGAAGTACAAAATATTTCTCAATATTTAAATGTCTATTATAAAATATTTCTGGCCAATTAAAAATAATACGATATATTTATTTTTAAGAGTTATAAAGATAATGAGAGATTAAAGCAACGATAAAAATAATGACTAAATTCATTATTATTACCAAAAAAAGTAACGACGTAAGTGACATGATACTCTTCGCAATCCTGGAAATAAATTTTTTCTTTAAATATAAGCACATTTATTATTAATAACTCGTTAAGTTTCTTTTGTTTACTTTACGATAATATATTATAATATCGTACTATATTTTTATTTATTCGTTGTTAAACAAACGATTATTATATGTTTGAAAATTATAACATCATACAACCAACATTTAATTATCGAGGGCGATAATCTAATATTGACAAAATTATAATCTAATATTGTCAATGTTTCAGTCTTCAAAGGTATTGAATATCTGGAGGAAAATTAATTCTTGGATATTATAACATTGTTAGCATCCGGTGCATAATAATAGATAAAATTCAGCGCAGATTATACGACATCAGTGGTCGCTGTATACTGTAGATAAAGTGCTTAATACCGCCATTCGATGTTGCATTTACAAATATGTTGTAAGTAATCGCAATACTTGTAAATCCATTTGCACATTTATAATAGTCGATGCGTACCTGAAACGCGTATTCTTCATTGGAAACAATTTATTATATGTATTCAATGTAATGTACAGTAAGATAATTTATAAAAATTATTCCTTTATAACTGATTTATTTTTTCTTTATTATTTAAAAAAATGGATCGATATTTTTAATTTAATCTGCATAAAAATATTGTACGATTTACAGACACGTTGAAATCAATCCGTTAATATTGAATGAATGATACGATTAACTGTAATAACAATTAATAACTCAACACATTTTAATTGGTTACCTATTAATTAATTTATATAATATGGTAACGGAAAGAGATAAAGGGATACGAAGATAAAGCAATGCAATTGATTTGCTGAATTAATGACGCTTTAGCGGACACCTTGCTAACGAGGAGCTTATTGTTCGCGATTTCAAAAGAATCTTCGAATGTACATTCTGTCAATTCAAGAATCGATTCGTTAAAAAAATGCTAAAAAGACATTACATTTTTGTTACATTTTTTCTATTTGTTAGTATTAAATCTTATTGTCTGGGCATGTTTTATGTTGTACACATAATACACAATATGTAGAATAAAAATAAATGTTCTGAAAATGTATACGTTTTGTTTAATTAACTGCACTGAAAAAAATATAGTCAATTTTAATAAATATTTAGTTGAATACTGTCAATTAAATATTTATTAAATATAAAGGTATATTTATTTGATACAAGAAATGTTAATTTGATTTAATAATCTTTTTTTTTATTGAACAAATATTTACTTATTGTAAGTAAATTTAGTTGGCAGTATTGAATTAAATATTTATTAAAATTAATTATATTTCTCAGTGTGACATTATTAACATATTGTAGAAGAACTATATATATTACATCTATTTTTTCTCAAAAACAATTTACTTGAAAATTTATTGGTAATTTAATTTCCTTTGTAATTTATGAAAGTAATTTTGACGAACGAATGTTTTTAACTTTACATTTATATTACAATGTAACACATGTAAAAATAAAATAATCTTTTTTATTTAATAAATTTTTTAAATCTTTATTAATTAAAAAATGAACATACCATACATATATACATTTAAATACTTGTAAATAGTACAAAATTGTAAAACCGCAGTAATAGTGTTCCAAAATTTGATTATTAGATTCTGCAGATAAATGTTTCTGGGTCACACACTGAATACAGAAAATATCGCACAGCAGTTTGTTGTATTGATATATACTATATACGTTGCGGTGTGGTCGCAAGCATTTGAAAATCTAATTAAAAACGCTTTCGTCAGACATGGTTAGAAACAAAAGGAATTTTTTGAATAGAAGTTCTTCACGCTCACGTAATGACTTGTACAATTGCAACGAATCGTAAGAATAGTCGAGCAGAAAAACTGAAGTCACTTATTATTTTGCGTTCGTTTGCGGTAACTGAGCAAGCATTTGTCCTAGAAAAAGAACTGTACTTAATTCAGAGTTCGTGCAGTAAACTTCCAATTTTATAGTAACATAGATACGTAGAATGACAATTAGGAAGTTACTGAAATTAAATAATTATTATTTTACAAATAACAAATAGAATGAAATAGATTGAATACCGCTCGGAAAAATCTGTTACTTTTTTAAATAACAAGATTACACATTTATGAACTTATAAAAATGAATATTATGAAAGTTTTTTTCTCTTTTATAATAATTATCCCATAACCCAATTAACATGCAATTTGAAATATTGTTATTTAGACCATTTTTAATTAATTTTTTTAAAAAGAAGTACTATGTTTTCAATTTATTTCAAAGAGCTTAAAACGTTAAAAAATTTGTTGCTAATGTTTTTTTAGAAATTCATACTTTATATGGAATATTTCGTATACGAAGATAAATTGACACTGATATTGTTGCATATTATATGATCAATGTTATATAAGTAGAGCAAAAGATATCTTCAAAAGACATTTGTTATATACATGGCGTCATGGCACAAATGCTTTATTATGTGAAGTACCAATTTTGACATACTTGGCACCCGTACTTGACGTACTTGAATCTATTTATGCATCAAAGTGACGCAAAATTTTAACAGTTTTGCATCTGTATAATGAAACTTTCACATGTGTAGAATTGTAAAAGATATTAAATGTACATAATATCGAAGATAAGAAATCGATAATAAATATTATAAATAAATAATATCCTATAATATTAAATAAATCAATGGATATAATTCTGAATATTTTAAGTTGCATAGATATCAAGACATGATAGATTTTCTGAATAAATCGTTAAAATTAATTATCACAAGGATTCGCTGGCTGAATTGTTTATAATCTGCAATTTTAGTATCCTAGATAATTAAAGACCATAAGTACACATTGCCTGTACATAAAATGGAAAAAATTGACTTTTTCATTCTCACTACAAGCTTGATTGATTAACATCCTGTATTATCCCAGGGCTTCGTAACTCATCACGTGGCTACAATATTTATTTGTTTGCGCAATGTGCTATCCTATTTTCTTCACGTATCGATCTCTTGTCACACTCGTTACCTGCACCACGCTTTGTACCTTTTCACATTCGTCGCTTCCATATAGATTTCACCGGAAGACCCAAGATCAATACATCCCCTTTTGAAGGTATTTTGATCAGTTCAAATGTTTTTTTCAATTGCAATATTAAAAGAATAATATTTGTAATAATCAGATAATTCTAATGGACTAGTTTCAGAAAAATATATAATATTAATTGTTGAGCATAAAAATATATAATATTAATTGTTAAAATACATCCTCTTCTATTTTTTTAACTGTTTAATTCTACTATTTAAAATACTATTTTTTAAAAAGATTTATATGTTGTAACTCTTAAATATAAAATTGGTCGAGGCTACGCCAATTTTATTAATTTATTTAGTTCAATCTTGCCCGATCGAACGACGGTCCGATGAACTTTCACGACTGTCTAAAATAATGACCTAATATACAAATAGTTCTCACCGCACGAAATGAAATATTTTAGCTTCAACATGAATACGCAATATTATTGCATAATTGCACGAGATTAGTATAACTGGAGAGAAAATTATAATTTACAAAAAGTAAATTTTTTCTTACATTGATTTATCAAATAATTCAGTTTGATGGGTTCTAAAAATCGGAGAAAATAAAAATACGGTTCAATTTAAAATCAAACAGATTTTAAAATCAAATAGATCCTGATCTTATAATATGAATCACACAAAATAAATTCGAATTTAAAAAATATGATGATTTTACTGTGTCAAGTTTTTTTATATTGAGAATAAAAGATTACTTAAAAAATCATTTTTGTAAGTCTGGACCTTAGGTCACCTAAGACGCGCAAGGCACAGTCGTAATTACTCTAATTATGAATTGGGTTGTGGAACACATGGGTATGCATTCGTGTCATACGCGCAAATTTCCGCAAACGGATTCAATTAAAACGATCGTCTAATTTGACACGATTTCATTATTAAGGGAATGCGATAAATTGTACGATGATTGTAATTAGATTGATTTAAAATAACGAAGTGATTTAAAATAATCACATCGTTATTTTATTTTTTTTTTAAACAAATAATAGTAATTCGACTAAGGAAGAAAATTTATTGAAACATACTGAGAAAAGCAATTTTTCAATCATTGATAAATTTTTCATTTATGATTTCGATTACAGCACCTATGAGAGCGACAAGTCAGGCTTTATTGGATGAAAATGATATTACGTTTCGGGATGACAGCGATGATGACGTCACGACAGAGGACCCATTTCTCAAAAAGTGCATCGTAGATGGGAATTCCTATTTTCACAGTCAAACGGTAACGACTAACAAAATATACTAGCGATTTTTCCATAGAGAAAAGTTTTTTCCAATATTACGAAAGGAAATTTACAGAGAAAAAAATGTTAAAATGTTGATCCTCCAATCTCTCCAATCTTTACAAGAATTAATAAATACATAATAATTTATAAATAAATAAATAAATCAAAAATTATTTTAAAAAATTTAATAAAGAGTATTAACGCTTCGGTGCCACTCGATATCTCTTTGTCATGTATCTATCACGCTGAATATTGTGAGAAATATAATATCAAAATAAATATATTATATCAATTTTTTTCAATCGAAACATCAGACATTACACAAGAATGATAGTAATAAATAAAATGTATCTTCAGTAATAAAAAATATAGCATAGCAAAAAGTAATCTATAGTATGTCACACTAGAAATGATATTGAAGAGTTAAATATAACAGACATTTTTTATTTTAAATGTAAAGTAACAAAAATTATATATAAGAAACAAAAATCACGTGCTTACATGTTTAATAAAAATTCTTTTTCTCTCGTCTTTCTCTTCCTATCTCCTTCGTTTTCCTCGAATTGATTTTTTATTAAGTGTTAAGAAAGTGCTGAGAAGGATCATCATTTATCACAGCTTCAAAATCTTTAGCCTCATATCTCTGTAAGTAACTTTCTCAGAATTCTATTACAGTAAACTCTATTTAAACTGATGAATATACTGTGTAATCCATTTGGCTCTCTAAAGTTTTGTCCGTGAAAAGTTTTTCGTTTACACTTATATTATTTTCAATTATTTAAAAAATTTTAACATTTTAATATAAGAGATTATTATAGTGTGAAACTTTCAATTTTTTAATAAATCATATTAACAGAAAGTATATATATATATAT